AAAAAAAAAAAGCATTGAATAAGAAGGATGAAGAGAAAGAAGATGATGGATTGTCAACAAAAATGATAATGGAATAAGTATAAATGAATAATGAAATAAAAGTAGAGATATTTGCAAAAATACAAATGAGAGAATATAAAAGATGAAAGAAAAAAAGAAAATGGAAATTAAAATTAGAAGAACTTGAAAGAAAAAATGGGATATTTTACCTGTGAAAAAGAATGAGAAGTAGAGAGAAAGCCGAAGATGAAAAGGAGAAGGCAATAGGATGTTCTAGTTTTAGAGCCCTTATATAGTCAAAATATATTAGACAGGAATTATGTCGATTATGTTTCAAATTTAATTAGTTGGGAGATTTAATTTTTTTGGGCTGAATTGACGGGATTCGAGTATAATCAACAACCTAATTTGCTGTCAATTATGTTTCTATAACCAGTAACTACTGGCTGTCGATTATAAATATAACTAACAGTTACTGACTGTCAATTATAAGCTCTGTTTTTATACATATATATATTTAAACTAATGTGTTATTTTTTTAAATTGATGTTCAATAGGTTTTAATTATCTTATAAAGATGTTTGGTTTATCTAGTTCTCATTTTTTTCTTGGGGTTTTTTTTTTTTATGTTTTGTTTTTTTTATTGATTATTCTGTAAAATTTTTTGTTTTAAAGTTACAAATAACCAATTTTTTTAGGGCTGTCAGTTTTAACTAACTTGGTGGTTTCCCTAGAAATTGGGAATTGTATTGGTAGGAAAAGAAATCATGAATAGAAGTAAGAGAGGGGATGAGAGAAAAAATAAGAAATAAAAAAGGAAAGAATGCAACACGAGGTCTTTCCAGGAGGTCACCTATTCTAGTATTACTCTTGCCCAAGCATGCTTAACTATGGAGTTCTAGTTGGATCAATGCATTAGTGCTGGTATGATTGCAATCCATCAATGGACGCACATTGAATGCATATGCGCGTCGGCAACGTAGGACTTGGACAAGGCAAATAAAATTATTCCGATTCAATCCCAACAGTATGGCATTATTACAAGATGGTTAAACTATAAAAGTCATCCCTCAACTTTCTGATTCATGCCTAACCTGTCCCTAGACCTTGGTAAAGTACTGAAGCCGCGAAAATGCCGACATAAATCATTTGAATTCTCGTCTCATTTCCACACAATGTTCAATGTTCAAAACTAAAGAAAACGAATTTTTGGATGGAATAGTTAGCCATGTCATTACCTAATTGACAGAAGGGCGAAGTCAATGCCGTGGCCTAAAGTTTAGGGACAATCTTTGATGCATTTGAAGGTTCAAGGGGGCATATGGTATACAGACCTAGGAGTTGAGGAGCCAAACTAGCATTTTGACCTTAGAGGATCGATTACTCAGTTTCTCAAGAAATTTCGATGGGCTTTACTTGTAGAAAATCTTGTAGAAAACTCAATTAAAGGAATTAAAAAGCAGAACACCGACAAAACGGGAAAAGGGTGTGATACACACTCAGAAAGGAAAGAATAAAAAAAAGGAGTGCAACATGAGAACTTCTCAAGAAGTCACCCATCCTAGTATGACTCTCGCCTAAGCCTGCTTAATTTCAATGTTTTGATGGGATATGATGCATTAACATCAATGTGATCACACTTGTTAGTGGGCACGTGAAAAATGTAGATATGCATCGATGACTCAAGACTTGATGGAAAAGTAAATGAAAATGATACCAATCTTTGTACTAACAATTTTAGGGTTATGGGATCAGCTAACTCAGTGGTTTTCCTAGAAATTAGGAACTGTATTGGGAGAAAAAAAAAATCGCGAATAGATGGAAGGAAGCGGATGAGAGAAACAATAAGTTGCAAGCAAGCATAATGTATGGTACGCTTATGAATGAAAATAAAGACAACCCAGCAAAGTGATGAATAATGTTTATTTTGATGAAGTGATCTCATAATGAAGTAATCTCAGACTCAGTTAATGTAGTGTCTACAAACAACAAATCTCAACCACAATGTCAATGGCGTAGATTCGAAAGAGGAGCATAGATTAGCTTGTCTGCAACTGTTTATCGCATCACAGCATTTTGCAAGAAGTAAAGCCTATAGACTATATAGGCCCTTATAAAGACATTGGAGAATGACTTGTGAAACAGTAATCTGTATTCTAGAAGTACACATACATTCGGAACTGCAACAAATGTTAAGTTTAGAGGGCTAAAGAATGCAGAGAAATGCTTGCTACTTGCGAAAGTTTCCACCACCAAGAACTATGTGAGACACACCAGGAATAGGAAAAAATATGGAAAAAAGAACATGGAAACATAAGGTTAGAGTCCTTTAAGATTAGTTTCAGTAATGTTTGGTGTGGTCTACACTATGATGTTTAACCAGCAATGAGTTATCTCCAAAGGAAATCTGAATTTACCTTTTGCAATCTCTCCCTTGGGCTCAAAATCTATGATCATTAAAGATGACCATGCGGCAGAAAAGGACATACAATGTGTCTCCTTAAAGAGTAAGAACTTCCTGTATAGCTCTTGAATGGTATTTGTTCTCATCTCCTTTTTCTTTGTTTCCTTCGGCATTCAAAGCATTCTGAACATGGGGGTTTACTTTTACTCGAGTAACTGGATTGGAGCTTGCTGGGTGGTACTTTCAAGTCCTCTGTGAGTATCCGACGAAGCTTCTCATTCTCTTCCATAAGCTCCTCAATTGCTTGCTGGTGTTTCAAAACCTGAATCAACAAAAAGTTTCAATTCACTTCAAAATTTTTCCCTTGAGAAATTGTCAAAGGAATGCAGAAACGGACTTTGTTTTTATGGACAAGATGGCTCATACACTACAAATGCATACAGCAATGACATGATTAAGTTGAACGAATCCATCCTTTTGAATTGTATTTGGAACATGACTCACTCTAAAGAAGACCAACCCTACAGACAAATTAAAAGTTTTTCATCTTATAAAAACTTTTTTTGACCAATATTTATGGAGATTCTCAATAAATCTCCTTAAAATAACATTACTGAACGAAAGGTCTTCATATCAATTGATAAATAACAATAAGTTTAGAAACTTACCATTTGAAGCATGTTGTTTTCAGACCGCAACTGACTGGCCTACAAAAATATAAAAAACCCAAGACTTTATTATTATACGGCAGAATGTCCAAAAAATAATTAAAATTAGAACTTCAAAAACATGAAAAGTTTGAGACATACAAGGTCATTTACTCTGTTGTCATCTTCCTTCAATAGTGGATTCTGCAAAAAACTGCTGACAACCTTTTCTGTTCGACCAAAAGAAGTTTCAGCTGGAGATCTAGATGCAAACCTTTCATAAGTCGAACCTGTCACCATGCTTCCCTGTTCAGCCAGCCCTTGAAATGGGTGATCAGGTATCTTTGGTGCCATCTGCATGACACTTCCCATAGAGGTCTGTAAAGAGGCCTCATTTATTGTAGTCAAGCCACTTGGCAGAGATACTGGAAAGGCACCTTGACTGGTGAGTAAATTGGGAGGCATTCCAAACTTCATTGTCAATTTTGTCACAGCTTGCTAGGGAATTAAGATAAACATAGTTGTAAGTGAGCAAAACAAACCAATTCCGAGAAAATACACATGACAAGAGAAAATAATACATACTAGAAGACAGGTCTGAATTTGATGCACAACCCCAGGTTTCACAGCAAGGCCTGCAATTAAAATGGATACTAAGGTTGCAGAAACTCCCTCATGCAGAGACTCGATATTTTGAAAGAAAAATGATGTGGGCATAAAACTGGAAAAATAAGAAGAAAAGGATGTATAACAGCAAAATGTTTCACAAACAGTATAAAGGATCTGGTTAGAAGATATCTCTGAATCAGCACCAACTTAGTAAAAGCTTTATATAAGACATAATAAAGTAATTAAGAAGGAAATTCAGTTAAATTCATCTTATTAAAGTTCATAAAATCAAGGACTAGTTGCCTCAGTGTAGCCACAGGTCCACACAGAAAACATTCTCAGATTTCACCAAAAACTTCAAAAGCAGCATATCCATGCCCCATAACAATTCATGAATATGTCCAACCCTTATTTCTTCTCAAGAAAATATTACACATGACATACCAATTCCGAAACCATGGCCAAAACCAACTCCACATCCAATGCCTGCCTGAATGTTCTTAGCTCCGAACTTCCTCATCTATAATTATCAAAAAAAGAAGAAGAAGTAAACTGTAAACATGAGAAACAAGAGAGGAGCGCCTTTTTTTTTTTTTTTTGTAGTATTAAACAAGAAAAATAAGAAGCAATGTTTATAAGAAAGCAAGAAGAGCTACAATACTTACAGCATCATTTACATGTCTACTGACACCAGATAATGCATCAGTGGCACCTCTAGTCGCACTCATGACCTGACCAACCATAGGTAATGCACCTGGCAAATAGCACATTAATCTTGAAGGTTAACCAGAATATCCATGAAATCTACAGAAGAACTAATCAGAAATACAGGGAAAAAGAAAACTTGAGCCAGCTACCAGAAATCCACGTTTATTCCAGCAATCAAAAAACTCATCAATCACACTTTGTCAAACCCATTCATTTACCCATACATTTCACATTTTCACCCACCCCAAATCCCCTTGGCAGCCAAACAAAACGAAAAAACTCGAGCAAAGAAGTGAAAATAAGGTGACAACAAAAATGAGAAATGATACATACGAGGGTTCTTAAGAAGCCAATCTCGACAAGGACTATCATTGCTGGAAATAAACGACCCGACCCAGTTCATATTCTCAACAAGAAAACAAAATTCATACGGTAAAGGCTACGAAAGGAGAGGGCTGCTGGGCGTTACCAAGATTTATAGGGCGGCCAACACCAATACCAACACCACAGCCAATCCCAAAACCAGTAAATACTTGCATCACTTTGAAAGTAAAGGGATTCCCTAGTTTGATTCCTTCAAATTCTTTTCTCTGATTGCCCACCACCATGCTACCTTTACTCTCCATTCTTCACCAAGCTTCGTCCTTTTCCTTCAATATGGGTCTATTCACATGTGCCCTTTCCCCTCTGTAGAAGCCAAGTATCCTTTCTCCAAAAATAAATCTTTCTTTCTTCTTGCTCTGTCTGTAACTGAAAAACGCCGGTTTCAACAATTGGGTTTAATGAATGTAGCTCAAAATTTACAGAGATGAAAGAAATTGTTAGGGTCTAATTAAGAGGGAAGAAGCACCAATTTTTTTCTGAACAGGATGTCAATTTGAGAGTGCCTGATTGAAATGGTAGATTAGATGGGCTTGAGATGTTGGGCTACTAAAGGGCCTGCTAAATTTGGGGCAAGTCCAAATAAGCAAAGGAAAGGAGAAATTTACAGGATATTTGAGGAGTTGAGGGGTGGAGAACTTTTTAATTATTTAAATTAGAATGTTCTTAAATTGGTGTATTGTTTTGTTTAGATTACTTTGGATTCTACAATATGAATTTTTTTTATGAGGAGAGCACTCATAATGTTAGAGGCCCTCCTTTGTCAAAGTAACAATATTTTACAATTTATATTATAAAATACTTTTTCATTTTCAAATATTATAATCTAATTAGCAAAAAAATTTTCCCCTCCTCTCTATTCTCCTTCATTTCTCTCAAATGAAACATAATATTAAAGTATGTCAAAAAAATTCCACACGTCATACTGTTCCAAATGCAAAATAGCTACTCAATTGACATTTAGGATTCCATTTCGTTTCTTTCAAACCAAACATATCTTTATTAAAAATAGCACAAAATTTTCAACCCCATCACTGAGCACATGAACCTAATTTAGGAAAAAGATAAACATAGAAGCATAAGCCACCTATTCCATTGGCAACTTATAACTTATTTGTTGCAAAGTCACCATCCAATAATGAACTTTCACCTGTACTGCTGAGTTGTTTTTTGTCTTATGTTTCATATCTCTTTTCAGATTATCAGGAAAAAAAAAAAGGGTATGAAGAAGAAGAAAACTGTCATCTTTTCTTCAATCACAACATTAATCTCCAGCTTTCAATAGACCACAAAAAGGAAAAACAAGCATTACATGGTACAAAGAAAGCTTTATTCTTTCAATAAACCAAAGACACTTTACCCATATTAGAGCTTTTCATTAGGAACTGTGACAATGATATTGATTTCTTTTGCATCAGGAGATGGAATTGCCTGGAAAACTCCATCAGAACTTGCTCCAATCCATTTGGAAACAAGAACAGGTTTGTTTCCTTCAGTTAAACTGAACACAGTTTCCCCTAAATCTTCCCATGCTGCAGGAGCAAGCTGCATCTTAGTATTCCAGTTTTCTGCCTTTACCATCTCATGTTTTGAGCAACTTTCTACCTTAATGGTCTCAAAGGATTCATTGAGAAACAGAGAAAAATGCACGGCCACTTCCTTTCCCAGCCTATTCTCTACCTCCTCTAAACACTGCAATGCCAATTTCTTCCAGAACTCAGTATCGAAGTTTACACTTTCAGAAGTAATTTTGAAGAACAAAGTCAGGCCGCGGCTTTTGCTTGAAGCTGAAGTAATGACGTTGACTGGGGTGTTACTGGGTTTCTTGAGGTTGGGGAGGTAAAATATGGGTGCTTTTGATGAACCATTCTGGGTGACCACGTTCTGGTGAATATTTGCCCATGTCTTGAGGAAATTTGCCCCTAACAAAAGGTCTGTCAGGAGAATGCTGCAGCTAATCCCAACTGAATATCCACCGCATCGGAAATTTGTCACCTGTAAAGTATGCTCCATAAGAGTTGGAAATTGCCCTCAAAATTAGCTGAATGGACCCTGATAATAGAGTTGTGTACATTTTTACCTGAACATAGAATAGTGGAGAGAATTCAGGATTCTGCTCTTCAATCTCTTTCCAGAACACAAGCTCAGCTTCTGCTTCTTCCCTCTCCTTCAACTCAAGAAACTCTGACAAATTCATTGCAATCTGTGCCTCCACAAGTCTGATTCCGCTATCATTAGACACAATCTCCAACCCTCCTTCTCCATTCTCCCCTCTCCGGAGGCGCCCACCGAGCATTGGTTGCTCCAGCAAGGCCTTCCCTAGTGACTCCTTGATCCACCCTGCAACCAGCCAGCCAGAACCATCCTCCTCCTTCCTATAGTAGAGCACCATGCTAAGGCACCTCTGGAAAATCCCTGAGCCAACAGCGTCCACCACAAACACCTGGCGCGTCTGCCGCGGATCAGTCACCTTCACTGGAGTGACAGTCAATACAGCCTCAACTTCCGATTTGGGAACCGGATTGATGCTACCAGACTGCCTTGCCATCTTGACTAACTTGTGTGCCAAGTTTGATAAATGGCATGGTATTTATAACAAAATTTTGCCACATTGGTTTAGACTTCAGATAAATGTACAACTGTACAAGTCAGTTGCCAACGCACAAAAATGAGATAGCTGTTGTTTTCTTGTTAGATTTATTAGGAAAATAGGACAGAAGTCTGGCGTGGTAGCAGACCTAATATACGGCGTGAGGTTGTAATAGGAAGGGGTCTCTGGTCCCACTACTGTCTTGCAAGCACAAGATTTGGTAACCAGACTATCTACTCTTAATAATTGTGATTTTATATCACAATTTCTTTCCTCTCAACGATAAAAACATCTCCAATTTTCCAGAGGGGGAAGTAAGGTAAAGATATTGTCAAATATCCATCAGAGACCGCAAACTGCCAAGTTCTTTGGGCATCGCAGACTTTTCCTCATTCTTATCTTTAAAGTGCAAACCCACCTCTCCACTAATGTTGATTTTCATTAGTATGTGAAATGCATGAAAATGTCATTTCTAGTTGATCAAGATTTGACTTTTAAGAGATTAGAATAAGTAATTTTTCTTGAATTTGTTAATTTTGGTGTTGATCATTGGCTTTTGATCAAATCAAAGAGGTAAACTTTATTTCACACATTGTAAATAAAAGATTTTTCTAATGCATAAGTTAAGGGTAAAATTATTGTCCTCTTTTAATATTAATTAGTACTAAAAAATACAAAAATTATCATTAGTTTTACTATTAATATGATTATTTTAATTAGATAATTACTTAAATAAAAATAAATTTTATTTTTTTAATACTAATTAATATAAAAAATATAAATAATCACACCCTCAAAGAACGTGTAAGAACAACCAGTAAATAAATTGCTATTTGCTAGTATAATAAAGAGAACTAATAAATGCATTCTCTCAACGGCAGTGGTTGGGCTTGCAAGATAAACGCCTAATAATTCCAGTCTCTCTTAAATTGGGACATCAAACAATAAATTGCAGAAGCCCCTAGAATCAAGAACAAAATTCCAACTTTCAACCACAGAAAATAATAATAAAAAAAATAAGAAGAAGAAGAAGGAACATGAAGATTTGGTTTAAAATTTAAGACTATCAGATGGAGCAAGTTATTGCTGCTTAAGTCAGAATTGGATTCAATGCTAACTGTAGGTATTAATCCTCTACCAGTTCCACAACTTTCATCATCACATTAATATTAACAAGAAAAACAACAATAATAATGGCATTAAAAACACAATATGTCAAACTCAAAACTTCCAACTTAGAAAGGGAGAATAATATTGAATTAGTTGACTCTTTTTAACAGCTATGGTTGCCTATGGGCATATAGCTTTCAGAAGAAAAGATATTTTGCAAGAAGAGCACAAACAATGTTTCTTCAAAAATTTCAACGAAATGGATTCTAATTAAGGTCATCTTGACTTGCACTGGTAACTAGTTGTGCCTGCAACTTCCACATTTCCACTTGATTAGGCCTAATTAGGCCAGCAAATGCAAATTCAGCCCAAAGAATGGGCTTGGGATCTGAGAATGAAGCCCAGAACTACAGAACCCCAAATTCAATAATGGAAGTACTGGTACTGCTATGAAACCATGATTTCAACTAGTAATTCTGAAGCAGAAATTGCTTTCTACTTCTACATGTCATCTTAAGAATAAGCAATGTGTAAACTCATCTAGATTAACCAAAATGGTTTTACAGAAGAACAAAATTCACTTGTAGGATCTGTGACAACAGGATTCTACTCTACTCAATCCTCTAAAATTTGTGTTTCATCAACCAGCTGTTGTGTTAGATTCTCCAGGTTGTGAATCTAAGTGGTCAATGAACTAATCCTACTGATTTTCCCTTTCAATTAATTTTCATTCCCTTGTTCCTACAAAGAAATATAAATCACCTTGTTAGATAGATCCACCCAAATACATCACATATACACTTGTTAACAGTGAAATAAAAGTGGATGCAGTGCAGGTTTTGTGGTTCCAGACAGAGTCCTGTAATCTAACATGCAGATAGAATTCACACAATGGGTTATGGATTAATGAAGGAATTGGCATTCTGTCTTGATGGATTTGGAACCAGAAAAAAGAGAACCAAACTTAACCGTTCAAAACCAGGAACAACAACATTGAAGAGCTATATACAATTTGAGTAAAATGTTTTTTATGGTTTAATGTGTCATCACCAGACGTTATACATAAGAAATGAGACAAAATTGGTCATATGATCTAACAGAAACATGAAAACATCTTCCACATTAAACATAAAAGCCTAATACCAAAAACTGTCTGCTCCATCAAACAGATAATGAAGATGAAGAAGTTCATTGCAGATCTGCCCTTCAAAATCATCCCATGGTGATCAGGTTTTGTGCTACAGTATAAGAAACAAAGCTATCAAGTTCACAACTTTGACATAATTCCAATGTTCACAATTATACTACTTGACCAAGTTGCTGTTCCAATTCTCCAACATAACTAAAAAAAGGCATATATGAATTCCAAACAAGAAACACCCACAGAAAGAGACTAAAATGACTTTCACCCATAACAGAGAAAAGGGAAAAACTTGAACAGCAAATTGGGGAAAAGAAAGCACTTTTAAACAACTGCATAGTGAAAGAGAAAAATAACAAAAGGCACAGGGGAACTGGGTTGCTGGAAATTGAAAAAACAACATGATTATTAGAGTGATGGTATTCTTAGTACCTGGCTTGGAGAATAACCAAAGAATGATGGCACAGAGAACAAGAACGAGAGGGATGATGTGGATGGCGTTCTCGGCGGATCTGAGACGGGACCTTTCTTTTTTGGCGGCGTTGGAGAGGGGATTGAGAGTGGGAAGCTGTTGCCGGCTCAGCTCCGTCGTCTCCGTGCTTTGAAACGGCGAAGAGTTCGAGAAGACCTCCTCCGAAACCGGAGAACTGCTGGATGATCGATGCATCTCTCTCTCCTTCGATTCAGAGATTTCAGAATACGAACGCGGCTTTGCTCTTCGGAGGTTGTGGAGGCGAAAAAGCCCACGAAGGTGGCGGTCTTTTTGGTGGATGATTATCCGCCTAACTTCCAAAGACCGCAATTCATTTCCTTAATATCTTCTCCTCGTTTCATTT